GCCAGTGAAGAACCACAAGTTATTGATATGCATCTCAGATAACTCAACTGATGACTTCCTGGTGCAACCACTCACCCATCAGAGCCCCCTCAGCCCGGGCCAATCCCGTTCTCCTGGACTCATCTGCAAGACCACAGCTCTTGGTGTAGTTTCTACCTCATGCCTCTTTCCTACCCCAAACTGTCCCCAGCCAGCTTTCATGGGCCCCTCAGACATCTGCTAACACAACAGTTGCTGCCTGTTCTAAGGCCTGCTCTGGGAGGTTCAGGGACTCAGTGTGTGGGCAGCTGCAATCAATCAAACCTCTGTTTCAGCATCCCGACCCCTCCTCACAAATGTCTTGCTTCTGTTTAAAGCACTGTTGAGAAATAGAATTTGTTGCTCTTTCAAGCTGACCAGCTTGGAGTCAAAAATACGGCAAGGACCATGACACCCAAGGGCATGGCATTCAGCGGGTAATGTTTAATTGTTGCTTTCTCTGAAATCTTTGTTCACACACATGTGATCCATGTCTAAATGGCCATGCATAGCTCAGGTCTTGCTGGGAGTCAACGAACACTTGGTGGTCAAACTAGGTCTCAAAAAAGCAGTAACTAATAACGTCAGCAAAAGTCCTCCTAATAAACTACTCGTATGCTCAGGCTGGGCCCTACCCTCAATGGCACACATTGTCATTTTGCAAAAGGGAGGCTGCAGTTTCACATAAAACACCAGGCAGAAGGGGCCTCAGCAGGCCACATGAGGAGGAAAGCGTGTGGGGAGGTCAGGAGAATCAGACCTGGGCAGGGTTGGGGCCAGACTGGTCCTCTGGGTTGCCTCTGAGCATCCTGCTCTGTGAACCGAGTGCTTGCAATGACAATTGTAGGGAGGGGTGGGCCTTTCTGGGCTGGGTCCTTGTGTCATTTCTCCCTGTAGGGCTCTCCTCACTATAATCACCCTCCCTCACTCAGGACGCAGATGGCTGGTTCACCTGTAGCCTCGTTCAGCATCCCTGCCTATGAGCTGGGCACTGAGGTTTTAAGAAGACATGAGCAAAGACAGTCTGAAAGCAACTTCCAGCCGCCATCCACCACATCCCAGCCTCAATGCTGCAAGAGATAAGAGCCACCACTGCCGGCAGGTTGGACAGCTGTGCCCCAAAGGTGTGGCTGAGAAAGGACAGGGCACCTGGAGGGGCGTCTGGAGGATTCCCAGGGTCATTTCCACTCTAGTTCCACAAGGAACAGATGTGAGACAAGAACACTCACATACAGCCAACCTCCTCTAGTGGATGGCACTTCTGATTCCGTCACAACCATCAGTTCCCAGCATGGAGTTCACCGCAGGCTGCGCTGAGCTGCAGGGCAGGCCTCCTTCCCATTTTCAAAAGAAAAGGATGAAGCAAGAAGAACAAACAAGAAGAAGTAAAGGGCAAGGACCGAAAAGGAAGGGTAAAAACAGAAGGAAAAAGATGGACAAATAAAGCAAAAAGGGAGTCCTTATAACGGATTGAGTGTGCCTCTGAGAACGTCACCCTCCAGGCCCAGCTCTGGCTCTGGCGTCTCCCAGAACAAGCCCATGCCTTCCCTCCCAAGCCCCGCAATTGTGACGATGATAATAAATCTTTGTCAGCACTCACCACATACCAGCCAGTGCACGAGGTGGTGTGTGTGTGTAGACAGATAAAGATACACACATACATATGTCAAAATAGATGCAGGCACATATATATATATTTACCCATACACACCCATATATAGATACACACATACACATATGTGCATGCATGCAGACACACACATATTATTTCCCTTATTCCTCCCAACAGTCCTATGTTGTTGGTGATGATGGTGGTATCATTTGCTACACAGAGATGTTAAGCAATTTGCCCAGGGCTGCCAGCCTCCTGCCCTTCCTCTGGAGGCCTTCTGATTTCTTGATGTCCCTCTCCGCCAAATGCGGGTCTACTGGTGAACACCATGCTCTAGAAGGGCCTCGGTTTCCTCAGGAGGGGCTGGAATGGACAAGGTCCGAGGTCACATCTAAATCTCACACCCTCTGCTTCTAGCCTGGAGCCTACATCTCACAGCAGTGTCCCACTCCCAGGGCACTTGCTCCTGCTAAACTCACCGTCAGTGTGCACAAGGGCAGGGCCTTGGACCTCAGAGCTTCTGCCCTCCCCTGTTGGTCTGACTCTCTTGGGTTCTCTCCATGGTCCCTTTTCTGCAGGCAATTTGGAGGGGCTTGGGCTACCATCCTCACTCTGGGTGCCCTAACTAATGGCCAGAGGAAAGCCCCTCGTGCTCACACAACCCTGGGGAGGTCTGAAGGTCCCAGGCCCAGTCAGTGCCTCTAGGGAATCAGGATTTATCAGAACTCCCAGTCATTCCAAAGGTACTTTGCACCTCCAAACTGAGGCTCTCAGGCATCTGGTCCCAGAACCCATGCACAAAGAGGCTCTTTGACAACAACTGGAACCCCCCAAAAAAGTGAATGTATAAACCAAGATCAAAAAACCCATGAAAGAGAGTCCACGAGCCAGCTTGGGAAAACAATGGCAGGAAACGCAGAGGGAGCAGCCAACAATCGCACAAGCCTACCTTTCTACAGATGTGCGACCCTGCTCACTTCCTGGGAGTGACAAATGCTGAGTAAAGCCACAGCCTGTGCAGGCTAGGGTCTGTAGGCAGCAAAGCCCACGTCAGCTGTCGTCTGGCCATAAGCAGGTCCCTATACACCAGCGACACACCAGCTCATAGGGTACCAGGCATAGGGCCCTACATCTTCCAGGCTGGGTCTAGGGCTCTTTTCAAATGCACAGGGGTTGCCCTGGGCCTGGCTTTCAAGGCTCCTGGAAAAGCGAGGCCTACCTCCTGAGGCCATAAATCCTCAGGTGGAGGAGCCCAAGCAGGCAGAGCCCCATGGAGAGAGGGCTGGCAGGGGTCTAGATGCTTGGGGGGGGGGAGGGGCACTCAGGGTCCACCCCCGGGGCTCTGGCTGTGGCCCTTTCGCACACACACTCCCAAGGGCCCCTTCTCTACTCTCCCCAGACTCTGCCCTCCCAAGGCCTTGGCCAGGGAAAGACAGAATACTCTCCTTCTCTACTCTCCCCAGGCAGAATAGGGTGGCCTCCTCAGCATCTTGGAGGCCTGCCTGGAGCCATGAAGCGATCTATACCTCTGGGCACAGCACACCAAGCAATATATTTTTAAACGGTTTCTACCCAATTGAGGACAGGAAACGTCTCCAGTGATGCCAGAGGTCTTATTCCAACTTGTGGCTGGTAAAATATAATAACACGTGTAAGCTGTTTTTATTACCTATCTAGCTTATTAGCTAATATAATAAGCTCAGCATTAAAAATTTAACTGAAGCCATTTATCACACCCAGAACTCAGGGCCCTGAATTTCCTTAAGAAGTCACCCAAATCTGTCACCTTTCCAGCCTTTTTACCTATTTAAATTTCTCCAGAGAGGGAAAATTCCACTCACGTGTCCAACGTAAATGAACGTGTTTGATTGTTGTCTAGCTAGTAAAGTAAAAAATGTCCTCTGCTTAGGAAAAAGAGGGACACACCTGGAGCAGGGATGGAAGAAACAGAAACCGGAAAATGAGGGGCAGAAGATGGACGTGTGCCCAGTCCTCCTCTGGGCTCTTCCCCAAGTGACCCCCCCACGGCATGGAGGAGGCAGACCACATGATAAGCTTGTCCTCCAGCTGTGCCAGCCAGGGCCTGGGCTCTTGAGCAAAGGTGGCCAGAAAGTCTGGACTCTGGGGCCAGGTGTGTGCTCCAGACTTGAGATACCTACACTTCTTCTTTTCGAGGTGGAGGGGGCATCTAGGCTGGGAGGGGGAACTAAAGGAGAGAGAAGCAAACTTCATAAACAGAAACTGCATTTTCATTCTAAAACAAAAGGAGGTCCAGCTGAAAAAGGAGCACTAGGCACTGAAGGAAGGCCGTCGTGCCTGCCTGAAAAGGAGCGGCCATGACAAGCCTGCCTGACCAGATGTGGCCACATGCTGTGTGAGCAAGGCCAGCCCCTCACTGCCAAGGTCTCCACCCCCTTCAAACCCAGCGATGACGGATGCTCACATAACAAGACCGGAAAAGACCATGGTCAAACCGCAGCACTAAGCACCTGAAGGCCTCCTGGACACAGAACCCAGAGCGCCGCATTCTACCCACCACAGCCACCCATCCTTGAGTGGATGGGTCACAAAGGCCAACTCTACTCCCTGGGCCCTCACCGCCATGCTCTCATCCTCAGGCCTCCCCAGTAAGAACCAAACGCAGGCGCTGCTCAAGCTTAGAGACTCCTGATAAACAGTGTATTAACTCCAAGTTCATCTCACTCAAATCAATACCCAAGATCAGTGTTAACACGAGGCAGGGCTCCAAGATACAGAAGATAAAGTGCAAGTGACGGGGCACACAGCTGGAGGCCTTGCCTACAGCAAAAAGCAAGGACGATTACAGAGGTGACACAGAGGAAAGTGATCACAATTTCTTGTCGGTCTCACGTTTTCGACAATTTAATCAAAAGAATAAGTGCCTCCCCCATCTCGCAGTCTCTAAAACCACTACCCACTCCCTTGATCTCAGGATCAGCATAATCCAAGTGACACTCAATCCCAGCCTGTGTGAGCCCTTCTTACAGTGGCTGCAGGGATGGGTTCCTGGGAGAGGATCCAGCAAAGTGCCGGAAGGGAATCACCAGTGTTTGGTGACACTGGTCTGCCTGCCAACGCCCTGCCTCTCACCATCTATCTGCTCTTAAACCACTAGCACTGTGTCCACAGAGAAAGAGTATTTCTGATTTTAAATGGAGAAAAATAGACACTTAAAAAAAAAGATTCTATTTCATCTTTCAATAGGATTTAAAAAACAAGAAAATTAACCCACTCCTGGGCATTTCTGAAACTGGCACTCTGCACTTGCCTGGAATGGGCCAGGACCAGCAGAGGCTCCAGTGAGCACCTAGATGCCACTGCAGCACCTTCCATGCAGCTGGGCTCTTACCTGTGCCATCTTGGCAAGGTCTAGGGAAGGCCTCTGCTCCTGCACCTCTTCAGGGCGCCGCCGCTTAACGCCGACCTTCTTGTCATTAAGGACACATGGCTGGGAGCGGCTGCGGGAGAGCCCACTGGAGCGTCTCGCCAGCTCTGGCGTTGAGGCAGGTGTGCTGTTGGCTGAGGGTGGACAGTACTCTGCAAAGGAAAACTGCTCATGCGAGCAAGAGAGGGACCGCTGCATGTCAAGCCGGCCCCCTCCCATGGGGTTCGGGTCAGAGCTCCAGATGTCGCCTGCCTGTCCACAGGTGGCTGAGCCTGGTGCCCCTTGGCAGGGTTGGCCTCCAAATCGGTGGTGAAAGCCCGCCTGGTCATAGGGCGAGGAGAGCACGTTGGCCCGGGAAGGGAGGCTGAAACTGGAGCTCCTCTGCATGGTGTTGAAGCCATTGGAATAGCGCTGGACGCTGCCCCCGCTGTAACATCGTCTCTTTTCTACAGGAGTCCAGACTTTGGACCCCAAGGGCCTCCATGATGTCCGGCAGCTGGACATTTCATCAGAGAAGGACAGTGACCGGCACTGGCGCTTGCTAGGGGGTGCTGAGGGGTTCCCATTGTGGTCGCTGAGGCTGAGGTCTTTGATCAAGTTGGTCACTGCGCAGGCGGTTGCTGCCTCCCGGTGCCACAGAGCACTGTCCTGACACTTCTCAGGCAAGCATTCCCAGATGCTGGCGCTTGGTTGGTCAATCTGAAGAGGGCATTTCCTGTCCAGGTCTCGCCATCTGTCATTTTCTGGTTTATAAATGACAAAGAGAAAACAGGATTTGAGAAAGCCTTCACGCCAGCCCTCTATCTCCTCACCAAGAGCCCGTTTTAAACAGGATTTTAGAGCCAGAAAGTCCTTTAAAAACCATCCAGTCCAACTTCGTTTTAAAGATGAGAAACTGAGGCTCAGAGAGGGGACGTTAAGTCCCAAGGCGTTGAGTTAGAAGCAGAGTGAGGTCTAGGATCCAGGTATCCCCCAGGATGCCTGATACCGTTTCCTTTCTAACATACTATACTGCCTCTCAGGAAAGTCCAAAGCAATGTTTTTCACCCAAAATGCTTTCTCATTTTATGGATGGGAAACCGACTTGCCCCAACCCCTCCCCCAGCCAGCCGCAGAGTCGGGGCAACATGTCTGTTACATCTCGCCTCAGTGCTCTGCTGCTCTTGGGCCGGGCCTCAACGCCCTGGCAGAAGACCTCGACCAAAGATGAGTCTTTTGGTATTTCAGAGGGTCAAGGTCAAAAGGGGCTTGGGGGCGCTGCCAGGTTAGTTCATCTGAATTCCATCTTTAAAATACTTGCTGATAATAGAAACTGAATCTTTTATTGGTCTATGTCCCCTCCACAACATCAACAACCTCAGTAGCTGCCAGTCACTGAGTACCTTCCTCATGTTCACTTGATTTCTCCCTGAAATCAAGGATATTTAAAGGGGTTAAAATCTGTAGGAGCAAGTCTTGGGCTGCAGAGACTTAATGGTACAATTTAAACTTACATATTCAAGTCTCCACTTGAACGTATGAATAAATGAGCTAATCATATTATGAAATACTGACTTTGCACTTGAACCTTTATTTTAGTAAAATATTCAAGAACTATTTGTTGTTTTTCTACTATGGAATCAGGCACTGTGCTGAGAATTTTAGGAGAGCAAAGATAAATCTGACATAGTTCTTGTATTCAAGTTTATAATACAAAAGCAATATTGAGAAATATGTTGTGCTGCCAGGGATCAGTAAGTTAGCATGTTTCTATTTTTTCTAATCTCTATATATTTATCAACTGTGCAAATGTGAATATGGAGAAAACTATGGCTTGAGTCAGTCAGGCAGAAGACTGACAAAAGTAAAACCTGAAACAATATTCAGCAGGTATTTAATGCACACCGAATCTCACGACACTGCCATCAATTACTGAGCATCCACCATGGGCGGGGTAACCCACACAGCCACTGCCCGGATGGGGAGACCGAGGCTTGGGAAGGTTGAGTAAGCGGCCCAGGGCCACACAGCTAACAAATGACAGGATGCAAACCCAGGCTGGTCCGACCCAAAGCCCACACTCTTTTCACCAAACTACAGTGCTGAGGGGAACCACAGGGGAATCTGACAGTGGCCCTGCTCTCAAGGAGTTTTCTAGTCATGCAAGATGGGCCGCTGACTCAGAAAATTGTGATGTAACCTCCAGGCAGCAAGGACTACATCTTTCTCCTCTCAGTGGCCACTTCACAAAGGGCACTGAGAAACACCCAAAGGACTGACCCCGTGCTGAGTGTCACAAGCAGCAGCTTCTTGACAGGTTCAAAGGGAATGACCGATGAGGCCCAAAAGGAGCTTCATGAGCCAAAGCAAAACCCAAATCAGGGCTAAATGTGATGCTCCAACAGTCATGAGACACCGAGCCTGAGAGGCTGGGTCCCTGGGCAGGGGGCACGGGAGGATCTGTCCAAAGGGTGCTTCCATGGGAGGGCCTCAGAAGCTGGAGGTGTAGGAGAGAGGCTGTCATTAAGCCCAGTTAGGCCAGTTGGGAACAAGGCAGGACTATCGCTAAATGTCCAATTCATCTCATCCCTGAATCTTCCTGGGCCTGATGCACAGCAAATCTCAATACATGTTCCTTTAACTAAATTTGATAAATTATTACCAAAAATTACCTTTTTGCAAGTAGCATTTATGTTGTTCAAAATATGTCTTCACTACCCACGACCCTGACCCCTCGAGTATTTATCGTTCTGTTAAAAAACAGTTTCAATTTGACATCTGTCAGCAGTGTAAGTGCAGTAAACTAACACTAAAGTAAAATTAAAAGAAATACAAACTAACATTGATTGAGGCACGTTACCTGATTTGGAAGAAAAAAGTTATTCTCAGAAAAAAGTGGAGATTTATGTATGATGACGTTCTTCAAAACAACATGAGTGATAGCAAAATGGTGAATACCACGAAAATGTCCTACAAGTTAAAGAAAGTATCAAGGAACAGCATGGAGTATGAAAAAAGCAGAGTTGCAAAGAATATCAACGATGTGGGGAATGTTAATGATGTAAAGCTAAGCATAAAGAAACAGGATGTAAAACTGTATAGACAGCATGATTCCGATTTAGTAAAATCTGTATGTTATACATGAAGATAAAAAGGAAATAAACCAAAATGTTCAGAGTCGATTGGCAGCTGGCTGGTTGACTTATATTTTCTCCTTTTTGTTTTCCTACAGTTTCTTCTGTATTTCCTATAAGGACAAATGTATTTCCAGATATGTGGGGGAACGTGACCCACCAAGCCTGCTGGTGCTGTGCCAGGGTCACGCCTACGCTGACAACCCCACCCTCCTCTGGGTTTGCTCCTTTGGTTTTTCAAGAAGTTCCCATAGAATAATGCTGGCCACCAACTTCTCTTTTGGGACAAGGCACTGAGGCGCCAGACGTGCCACGAATGTGGTAGACTGAGGAAGAAACCAGTGGGCCCAGCCACAGAGCAGTGAGGGCCCCAAGATGGCAGCACAGTAGCCCCTTAAGGAGCCTGAGGTACACTACAGAATGTGTCTCATCCAGGCCCCGGGAAACCCGTGAAATTAAGAGACTGATCCCATCCTCAGAGGATACCACTTTCTGTTCCATTTTTATTTCACTGCCCTAGAATTTTCCCCATCTCTAGGGAAATCACGAGAAGAAAGGGGATTTGGGAGCCAGTTAAGCACGAACATTTTCTCTCTCTCATCTGGCAGTGCTGTTCCCGTGGCCATCTCATGATCTTGGTGCTTCTTGACTGGACCCCTCGGGTTTCCCTATCCAGTCCCACTTCCTCACTGCTTCCAGAGAACTTCCTAAGGCCCACACCTGTCATGGTCCACCCCCTTCAGCAGCTGCCCATTGCCTCGCAGAAAGAATGCAAACATCTTAGCCTGGCATCCAGGCCCCCGTCTACTCATCGACTTCCCAGGAGAGCTTACGCTCCAGGCACACCAAACTTCCTGTGGCATCAGAAGTCAGATGAGAATCAGGCTCAAGATCATCCTTGAAAATCCCTGAAACAGCCCATAAACCACACTCTTCCTGGTTCTGTGGACACAGCCCTGAAGAGTAATTCTTACACGCCAGCAATTCTTTATAAAACTAAAGTTTAACAACTGGACTGCAGGAATGAGTACAGGCAACATCTATATGTGGGGGGCGGGGGGGGGGGGCGTTCAATTTGTTTTTAGGTTAACTATCAAATTCCCAGTGAGGACTGGGGTTGGATGGCTACTTCTAACGTGTTTCTGCTTTCCTGCAGGAACTACTCTACTCTGTTTTAAAGAGTAAGCCTCTATGATCTCAACATATAAGATTTCTCTGTTGTAGGGAGGATTAAGAGAGTCAGTTCTCAACTCAGTCCACTGGTTACATACGAGTACAAGGCAACTGTGGTGGATTTGGAGCTTCCCCTAAACATCAGCCTTCATGCCTTTGTAAAGGCCTGGAATATACTTCTCATGCCTTTATCCTTCCACCAACAGTCTTTTACTCATCATTTCAAAGCCAACTCAAACATGACCTCCTCTGCAGATACGCCTTCCCCGTATCGGCCCTGGACACCCATACACTCCTTGCCTAGGTCTTCACTCATATGGTTCATACGTTAACTGAACCTCACTTATCTGTTCACATGTCTACTACTTCTGCTGAACACGAGCTCTCAAGCACAGTCCCAGCATGGCTCCCCAGTGACCGGCACGGAGCCTGACACACAGCAGACCTTAGCCGGTGCTGGGTAGAAGGAGGCGTGGACGACGTGCAGACAAAAGCTGTAGAGCAGGCCGTGGGTGCTCACTTGGTCTCACCTGTCTTTGCCCTGGGCACAGGTGACCCTTCCTTGGGCAGGCAGATCCAACCTGGGCTCTGCCTTGATGTCCCCACCCCACCAGGGCCATGGATGGTTGTATATGAAGCAGCTGGGAGGACTGGCTGATGGAATAACGTCTAAGATACTTTGAAAATGCAAAGCACTGCCCGATGTGGAGTGCTGCTATTGTGTGTCAACACCAGCCAGGTGGCCACTTGTTCTGTCTGCAGGGCAGATAATATTTTAATTGTTTCTATCTTTATCATTTCAAGAAGTACAATATAAGAAAAGTAAAAACAATCGAGGCTATGTTTAGCCCCTGTGTTTTCCCCCTTCATTCAGAGAACAGAAAGCAATTTGCTGGGTCAGGTCACCAGACAAAAGAAACAGGAATAGGAGCTAGTTTTTAATGGCAAACCACCCCGAGCTTTAGGCCCCAACGTCATGCTGCACAAACGGCCTCAGTAGGGCTCCAAGGAGAGGACGCCGGAAGCCCCTGCCCCTCCATTCAATATCACTTCTGCAAAAACAACTATAACTCTTTCAGAAGTGACAATGGTTATGGACGTGGGGAGTCCACGGAGCAGGGGTCACTTGGTGTGGGGGTATGCGTGTGGACCTGGGTTCAAACCTCGACTCTGCAAGTTAATCTCTCAGAGCCTTGGTTTCCTCATCTATCAAAGGAGGGTAATAGATAGTAACCACCTCACAGAGCTCTCATGAGAACTAAATATTTGCCCAGGATAGGGCCTGCGAGGACACAAAGCAGGCTCTCAATGATGGCAGCCGTCATGACTATGATGACAACACTGGAGAATGCTTGTATAGTTGAGGCTCGGCGCTTCTGCAACTGGGTACCAATCTCTGTGGGACCTGGCTGGAATGGGAACCTGTGTGCTCTATGCTAGGATTTCTCACAGAGTGG